TTCGTCGTCGTCGTCGTCGTCGTCGTCGTCGTCGTCGTCGTCGTCGTCGTCGTCGTCGTCGTCGTCGTCGTCGTCGTCGTCGTCGTCGTCGCCGTCGCCGTCGCAGCCGTCGTCGTCGTCGTCGTCGCCGCCGTCGTCGTCGTCGTCGTCGTTATATCGATATTCTATCCGATAATCTCGAGATGAAACCGCTCTTGATATTCGCGATCGTTTGCCTGTTGGCGAAGATCGTCGATTGCCGGGCCGTTAAGAATGATACCGATGTAACGCGTAAACGACGACATCAGTTCTCCATCGAAGAACTACTTACCATTAAGTTTCCGCATGCTATCACCGGAGATTTGGACATCGATATCTGTAAAGCTGGTGAGTGCAAAAAAGAATGTACAAGTTCGATATCGGATTGTCGCTGGTTGAAAACGGATGATTCACCGTTTAGTATTATTAATACTATTCGATCTTTTCTTATCAGTTGCATGATAACGATATTATTCATTAATTTATATAGAATAATTCATTATTCTATATCAATATATTCAAATAATTTTAATAAGCTTACGGAAATATTGGAATGTACATACATTTTTCATACAAATTATGATATTTTGTTTTATCTACAAATTTTGTATATATTTTTAAGAAAAATGTTTTGGCTCATAGCATCAACAGATATACAAATCTTGTAATTATGATTGTTAAAATTAAAAGAGCGAGAGAGAAAAACTTTTTACAAATGCAGATTTGGATAAGATAAATTTGATATTTTAAATAATTTCAAGTTTGATTTACAATATTTTGATGTACCAAATTTTCATTTAACGGCAAATTACAAATATTCAACGTATTCAACGCACACTTGAATTCTTCAATGTGTCCTTTCCTCTTAATATTTGAATTACACAATTTTTTTATAATTACACAGCATTTTAATATAATTTAATGTATGCATGCCGAAAATAAATATTTAAACAATTTATTCAGTTTAACGATAAGCTAAAATAACCGGAAAATAAACTGATGACGAATAAATAAATTTGTCAATGAAAAGATTAAGTGTTGAATTGCAAGAAAGATCGGGGCCGGTTGTTCCAATTTTTTGATAGACTTTATCTCTCAGTTACCTAAAATAAATATCAATAACTGCTCTATCTGTTGATAAAATTTACCTACGGATTAAATTGTTATTGCCAAGAGGTAATTTTACTCGATATTCCAACCACCGCGTAAGAATTACTGATATTTATTTTAAATAACTGAAAGGTTAAGTCTATCAAGAAGTTAGAACAATCGGCCCTAAGAGATAGGTATATCTTTTTATTTTAAAGTAATTATTTAAAAAGTATCTCGAGAATTCCATACGAATTAGCAGCGGAGTAAAAAAGAAGAAGATGAAAAATAATACGGCATGGCATATTTTTCGAGGCATAATGTTAGCTTTATTTGAAAGAAAGAACAGAATTTTTGTTCTGAAATGCAGAGCAAAGTGTAATTCGTGATAGGGAAATCAAATAAGAGATAAATTTCAGAAAGAGATACTTGGTGTAAAAATATAAATCGAATTAGGCACATATTTAGTTTCTACAAGATGTAGAAACAAATTTTTGAGAAAGTCGAATTCAAAAATTCGTTGGGTACGCGTGCGCTTGAATGACTTGAATGACTTGAATGACTTTAATTAGCACGTCTGTTTATTACTCATTATTTCTATTTGTATTAGTGTATAGCGGCATGATTCTTTAAAGAACTACAAACCTTCAGATTATTTATTTTCTGTTCATTTATTATGTTAAAAATTGTTGAAAAAAATGTTGCTAGTATAATAAACAATTAGAAACAATTTTTTTGTGCAAATTAAATAATAATAGGCTAAATAAATCTTTTAAAAAGATAAGTTTTAGAAAATTAATGTTTATATTACGTACGAACATAATAACGTGATCACATCGTCAGAATATTAAAATTATCGGATAGATTTGCCTTTGAGAGTTATAATAACAAAATAAGAAAATACGAAGTAAATAGTACACAAATCAACTTGTTGCGGAAAAAGTAGCAAATCTTTCATTTACTGTTTGCAAATTTAATCGCGGACTACAATGTAGATTGTTAGCGGAAATCTTTGAATTATTCGTTCTTTAAAATTTTAGCAATTTATATAGAGATGAAAACCTGCGTTATTTCGCATAATCGATGAGTCGATAAGAGCAGTTTATTTCCAATGTACGAGCGCGGTAAATTTTACAGAATTCTCTCTTTAGATTTTATAACACTTTATAGAAATTCCACTATTACATTTTGTTTTAATTAAAATTATTATTCCGATAAAAATGCATAAATTTGTGCAAAAAAGATTGCAAGTAGTGGATTATTTATTACATATTGTTTATTATACTACAATTGTTTTATATGAAAAAGATGAAAAAAATCTTTACTTCCTATTGCTATGTGGTTCACAAAATTTTCAGCTTGTAATTGCATTAAACGCTTGTAGAGAGTTTTCATAAAGATCATATTTATGCCAAGTCGAACGTACACCTCGCTAATGAGGAAAAAGCATGTCGCACTTCTCGGTGTTGCTCTAGAAGACCAAAGGAAAAGTTAGCTGCTCGAATCGCTGTCGAGATCGCGTGTTCCCGTAACGCAGCTATAATGCAGCTTAGTAGATGCATATGTGTGCAGGTGTGCGCATGATGCTCTTCTAACACACGATCCTTTCTCGTCCTAATTACGTAGAACTTCATTATATACATACGTCGTGATTTCAGTCTAAAAGCGTATATTCACCTCGATCTTATTAATTGCATAAACCTTTTCATTATTACATGCATATGTCACGAATTATTTTATTGAAACAAAAAATGAATACAAAGAACATAAAAAAATGTTGTATAGATTATCATATGTAACACATGGATTCTCGTAGTTGCGTTTGTTCTATATTTTTGTATAATATTGTGACTAATAGTAAATATGAAGATACACTGGTGCGGCGTAAGTTTCACCGCAAGATGTAAAATTATATCTGTATCCAATGACAGTGATTCCAGTGAATGCGTACTCGAAGGTTTCGTGGTATATTCTGAAATTGCGTTACATATGCATCTATTTACGCGAACTCATATCTGTGCAACGAGATACTTAACTAACAATAAACATCACAAATGAAACAATTCAATGCAAGAGTCCACTCCACTCTGTGCAAAATAATGTAATACAATCATAATATTAAGCAAAAGTCTTTTTCCAGGAAGACATAGAAAATAAAAAGCAAACAAAATCTATGATTCGATGACATCGATAAAGTTTACTTGTTAATTTACAATAATTAATGCCGAACATACAGCAGATATAAATCGCGTTGTGTCAGTGAGACTTCGATAAATGTTAGATTTCCTTTCACGTTTTTATATATAATTGAAAATATTTAGAGTAAACTGTACGAGCATACTAGTGCACTATTTAGTAACGGTACAAGTCGTGAAAGATAGGGAACATTATTCAAGATAGCCACTCATAAATTACAAGTCGATTAGAGTCGATTCGGTTAAGCCGATATACCATGCCATTCGCCTTGCTTTTCTTCTGTTTGCTTGATTATCACGCTGGGAGATAACCTTTCGACCTCTGCCACGCCACTGGCACGCAGTTTCTGCGGCTTTTTCTTTAATTCTAAGCGAGAAAACGCGAGATTCAGTGTTTTACCATATATTTATTAAAAGTTTGAATAAATATGTTAAACAAGTTAGCAGATTCAGCACAGCCGTTTCAATACATATTATGTTCGAGTAGAAAGTACAATACTGCAAGACGTATATAAATAATTATAATCATCGAGCTCCGTCATACTTGAGACAGTTATTCGTTTATACGTAACATTATAGCGACGGATAATGCAGCGTCCCGCTTGTATATTTCATAATAAATTCGTTTTTTCTATAGCGAATTATTTTTCACGATTGCTCCGCTGCTCGTGATAGAAAAATCTCAAGAATTTACATTATACAACAGATTTACTCTTTTTTTAGAGGCTCGATATATATAATAAAGAAAATATATATAATTACTTGATATTTATTTCGGATGAACGTGAAACGACGGCATTCAGTTGAATCAAACTCAGGAAGTAGAAAGTGACGCAGAAGTCAAACGTGATGAGGATTTATCCCTCGGGATTAGGTTGATGCTCACTTGGGATGAAAGACTTGGGGCGATGACGGAAGAGAGTGTGATGAGGAAAAAGATGGAAGCATCAACTAGAAATACTTGTCATTCGAATTTCTAACTGACCGACTGAAATTAATTTTCACAAACTCCTGCCGTTACAATGATTTGTAGATTCAGAGTCTACAGAAATGATGTTGTAGAGAAATGTTGTAAACATAATGAATCATTATTGACATAAGCTTATTATCACTCGGCAAATAACAAAATGATAGTCACCTCGAGAGGAATCATTTCTTAATAAACAGTCTATTGTTGCGATTAGCTCGGAAATTGCGTATTCGCAATTATGAGTGCAAAAGTTACTTGCGAGCAGTAATAATTACGCACTGTTCACAAAGCGCGCCAATACCTTCGCTATATCTCAATAAATTTTTCATCCCATCTAAATAGATTTCGTTTTAAAAGCTGTTTCTGAGAGCAGCATGATGAATGAATTATAAATGTGATCTCATAAACCGAGTTCTACAAAACCATTCAGAAACTGTACGTACGTACGAGTACACACAAGTGTATGAAGCTTAGAGGGATTATAAACGTAATAAATCTTTCCAAGAAATTTTTTATTAATTTTATTACAGTTTTAACACATACTTGGAAGGTTTGAGAAGAAGATTAGTATTAATAATTTGTGAATAAAGAAATATAAAAAATTTAACATAAACACGCGAATGTTATGAAATATTATATATTAAAAATTAAATTCTCTTTTACTAAATGTCAAAATAATCCGATTTAAATGTGCAGGACATTGATGGAAAATACTTAAAAAAGTAGATATCAAAACTATAATTTTGATCGAATAGCGATAGATAGAAAGAGATCAACAGAAAAACTACAATTGCGCTGGAAAGATAGTGTAAAAAGAACTGTAGTAGAGTTCTCGAACGCTAGCTGCGGAATCTGGCAGATTAGTAAAATAAAAGAAAAAAATCGAAGAAGCTCTACGTGGACAGTAATATTAATGGATATTAGAAAATAGCTACTCGATCATCGCAGAAAATTGAAAGTTCTAGAAGAGAAAAACATATATCGTACTTGCGGAATTTACTTTTTAATTATTTTTTCTTTAGACAAATTTTTTAAACTCTTATTTGATGAACAATATTCATTAATGATAATAAGCAAGCAGATTATCGAATGTCAATAACAACTCATCATTTTTGAAAAGATTTAATTTATGCGATGGTTTGTCTCTCTTGATATTTTAAAAAAATTACGGCATTTAATACAATATTTTAAAACAACAAATTTCGAAACTGTCCAATAACTGTGACACTCACATGTGATTATAGAAGTAGCGTTTGGTTCAACGAGAACACTTCTCAGCTTTCGCGATTCAACAGCATCGTAAAGAGCGATCGAATTATCAATGATAAATATGAATGCGGCATTGTTTAATTAATCGGCAAAAGAAATCCATTGTTGAATATTGTGTCACTGCGCGCAGAATGTGAAAAAAAAAAGAAACGGAAAGAAGACAGATATATAAAGTTGACGCAGTCAGTAGTGTACGCAAGCGTTTAATCCGACGCGATAGAGACTCACTGCGATGCGAGAGGCTTCTCCATTCGAATCAATACAGCATACACTCGTACACATACTCACGTAATCCGCGAACGTACATATGTAATACACGCATATACGGCACGTCGCATTATGTGAGAGTCAAAATATCAGGTACTTGTCACTTTCCCGGGTGGTTTCGTCTTTTCTGTTCATCTCGTCCGTTTAATAAATCCGCCATTAATTGCGGTGTGAAATATAATGACCGGAAATCTAGATTGCATAATCGCAGCGTACGCGATATCGTAGAAGCAAATTGTACATTAAAAACACATATTGTTTTTTTAATGTAAAGAGATTATCATGCTTTATATATTAATTCAATATTTTCAGCAAATGTTCCTATTTCTGCCAAATTAATGAACTTTATATTAAAAATTAGAGTAATTATACTGGTGATAGTGAACATGAAACAGCTTGAAAAAAGCAAGGCGAATTTGGGAAATAATATCTAATGATGACTGACTCGACAATAGAATTTTTTTATTATAAGCGTTCAGTACGAAAACTCAAACCCTCTTTTCAGTTAACTAGGAGTCTACTTTATTCTGTAAAGTGTTCGGTTTGTCCTTCTTTCTCTCCCTCTCCCTCTTTCTCTATCTCTCCTTCCTCCCCCCCCCCTCT